CTCTCTGTGTTCTCCCAAATTCTAATCTTCTGAATTCTCCATGTCCCTTTTTTCCTCTTTCCAAATTTATTTCACTGGATTATACTCTTTAAATAACATCTCCAAACCCTAATCTTCCCGATTACTGCTTATACTCTTGCTACCTCTACCACTACGGGATTTGAATCGACAAGTGCATCTCGGTGCTAATGTGGTGTGGCAACTCGAACTGATGTACGTACGTACGAAGTTCTACGTTGTTACTGACTGACTGACTAACTTCTTCACTTCTGACATGGCTAAAACACCACTGGTCGCAACTTCTCAATCAAGTTTCTGGAATTATCCCCCACACTAGTGAACATATATTACTCAGATACACATGCATATTTAATACATAGAAGGCTCTCTGATGCATGTTGTCATTGATATTGTCTTTAATTAATATCCTGCATAAACTTAAGCTATCATTTATTACGAAGTGAAAACCAGTTGTGTCTCGTTTTTGTATTATTCTTCACATGGTTTCCCTATATTTACATAGATTAGTTTGGTCGATTTCTCCCGAGTGATAGTCTAAATACATTGTAATACAGAATTCCTTATTGTTTAGTTCTTATAGTAAGGAATTCTCAGCCCTAATACATATACATTCGAATGGTAATTATTAAGGGAATAAATGTACTTTGCATATGTGTTTCGATAGTCATCAGTAATGATCAATCATTCATCTTCATTCGGGAACACTTCCACTCATTTCAATGGCTATAACTGTTTTTCTTTCTATCCACCCTCCATACATCTGATACATGTATTCTAATGTGATTATCTCCTGTCATCTATTTTTTTCTCGCAAAATATTGATAAGGCTGAAAATATCTCATATTTTTGCTTTAGCTAAAGTGATAAAAATACATAAAGAGTGGCAGCAGATATCATGTTGGTAGTTATACATTATTACAACTGTTATCGCTCTCTCATTTGTCAGTCATGCCATTTTAGTAGTACGGTAGATTAGTGGCAAGAATATGTGACTTGGGGTCATTTATTCGGTGATCAAAACCATTTTAGTGGTCACTCTTCTGTGGATGGACGGCGGCAACAACAATAGTAGTTCTCCTACATACATCAATGTATTGCTCGAAAGCAAGTTTACGAACATTTACTTGGTTACTGGATAGCATCACCCTACTTTATCATTATGGTTATTACTGTCTTGTGCTGCGCACGCAGAATAGAACACTTGACAATATACAAAAGATCGTATGCAAGTAAAAATACCCTGTCGTTGATCCTTCCTTGAAGTTATGGTCAGACTTCCATATTGTGACAACTCAACTGAGCTATATTGGATGGAATATTGGTTCCTTCACTTTCTGCCATTCCTGAAAGGTTGGTTGAAGAGCGTTTAAACGAAAAGCAGAAAACTGGTGATTCGAAGGCGAAGTCGTACATGAGTGTAACGGCAGTGAGGCATTTCCTTCAGACAACTGGTTTGTACAGCAATTCTGTCATTTTGACAACCGAAGGAGGAACTCTAAATATGTCACACCTTACGTTGCTCTACGAGTTTTCGTCTCCTACAATTGGGCCATAAAAGTAATGAGATAACTCACCTAAAAAATAATGGAAAAAGACCATGTTTAACTGGCCCAAGTAGTTGTCCATTTGGTACTGTGGTCACGATGTTAGGTCATGAACAAGTTTCTTTTGCACGTCTCTCAAGAACAGTTATCCCTGTACGTTGTAGATGACCGGGAATTTTTAACCACCCTCATGTCTCTAACAGTACGCGAGATCACTGTGTATTCATTTTTTTAAATTTTTTTCAATCCTATACATTTACTACATTCGATCACTGTTGTTATAAACTATCATCGTAAAAATTCTTATCTTTTGTGCTATTAATGATGAGTACGTCTTCGTACAGTTTAAATGATGGATAGGAAACTAATTTATGTCAATAATACACCGTGATACAATATAACTGGCTCATAACTACTCATAATATTGAATTATTGACGTTTAAACTCTCGAAATTAATTCATATCTAGTGAAAACCCGACTGAATTCTTGTATCTACAAATTGAGAAATACAGAATTACACATTATGAAAAGTAATATTAGATGGTTGATAATTAGTCGACAGAAAACCGTACTTTATTCCTCGTTTCGTTCTATTTGGCACTCGTCGCAGCACGATATATCTGTAATCTTGAAGGAACTTATGCCGTTTCTCTCTTTATACCTTATTAAATCTATATTCAACATCTGAGTATTCCGAGATGTTGTAATGATTTGGAGCTATTTTTGATTAAATATATGTAGTTATTAAAAATGATTCTGAATTCTCCTGGGTCACATTCTCGTTCACAACAACAGGCCTCACATTCACTCACCTAACAAATGTGAGTCTTTAATTATTTGGGATAATTATCATTTTAATGGATTATTTCTTCACTTTAGAATCGATAAGAGTTTTCTCTTAAACTTCCTAAATGAACAACTATAACTCTTGGAGAGAAACGATACAAAGAAAGCACTGAAAATGATTAATTAATGACTGCCTAGATATGAATCGGCACTTCCTGTTTCGTCTTTATTTCTTCTGTGTTGATGAATTCCATGTATATAATGTAGTAAAGATTGCCATTTAATGTTACCAAATTTTGTTTTTTATTTTATTTCAGTCACCGAAAAAAATGATAGTGATAGTAATTAATATATGAATATTTGAATTTTTCCTTTAGTGTCAACTAGCTTATTATAATCATTCTTTGAAAATTGTGTAACTGACAAACAAACAAATCTCTGCCCGCTGGTATAAAATTGTTTTCTGTTTTCAGAATGGGTTATTTTTTGTCAATTAATTTACTATCAATTGATTAGTTTTGTATGATTGAAGATCAATTGGATAGTTGTTTTTTCGTGTGTGTTTGCGTTTATAATCAAAGCCTGTCGACAGTTTGATCTATATCCAAGTGTAACATTGAACTTTCAACTTATGCAGTGATCAGTATGATAGTATGACAAATGCATATTGTCTAGTCTACATTACAAATTGAAGTGCTGGATAGATATTTCGTTTTAGTACGAGACTCCTAGACGGTGTGTATCTACAACCCTACCGGTGACCAAACCTAAAACCTTCATGTCACTGGTTAACATTTAGTTGTTCCGATTTCCAAATTTAACTAATTCTCTACATCACACAAATATCTTCCAATAGCACTCGTAGATAACTGCTTCACACCCAACATTGTTGAACCCCACTGATTAAATAACGATGACGCTGATGATAATCAGCGTGACAATCAGGTGTCATTCACAAATTTCTGAGATTATTGATAAGATATTAAGGTACGTAAGGATACAATACTGCGGTGTATATTTGAATTCATTAGTCAAAACTCGTTTAAATAAAGTATGTTTGTATATTGGGTGGTTAGTAGTTCTCGGTTGGAGTCCCAAAGAGAGGGTTGGAAGTATGATACCAGGTAAGAAACGACAACGTGATTAATAATTCTGAGGATTTTTGCAAGTCGAGGTCACTGGAACATATGTTACGTATGTTCAACTACTACCTGCTTCAACGCACAGATCTGTCGGAAGTAGTTTGGAAGAACGTCAAAGTGAATTAAACCAGGACTTGCTAACAGTTTACGAGATTATCAACTTTAATAGATGCAAACTACTTGTTTTACATCCAAGGGACTGATATCTAGGAATATTGAATGATATAGCTTAGATTTAGTCACAGTGATGCCGCTGTACTTTAATTCTCAAGATTCATTCATACATGTCTTTTCCTTACTTCTTTTCTAAAAAAATCCTCATTGTTTGTTCCTTCATTTCGAGTCATTTACTGTTTATCTTACTAATTTAACCTCGTCGTCCTGCTCTTGTATGGAGATTGTTTTCACCAGCTCACATCCGTACTAAACTATACATTGACTATAACTATTAGACTGGAAAGGGTGATTTAGTGTTAAAATCACTTGAAATTAACCTTATATTTAGTAAATAAATTACATGGACTGTAAAGATTTTTCTTCGATATGGAATTTCGATAATTTTTGAGTGTCATTTGCTTGTAACCTATATTGTTCAATAATCGACCATTTGAAGCTTAATCATTTGTGACTGGAAACAAGACAAGCAAGTTATTTGAGGAGATTGAACTGAACTGTTCAGTGGATTGAAATGAGTGTCGCATGTGTTCATTTTATCTTAAAAGTCTTAGCATCAATGGCTTGTTGTTAATAAAAATCGGTTTTTAATCACTTCTCTGAACCCTGCTTATTCGTTTAACCTGAAAACGGATCATCTTTTAGAGCTCAGTAGTTATTTCAAATTTCTGACATCACAGTTGATGGGCTATAGATGGTAAATGTGTGAGACTTATTTGGAAAACCAATTTTATTGTAAAAATGATTATTAGTTTGTCGGTCCAATCTATAAAATCACGAAAATGCTTATGCTATCTTTTTAATTGAAGGAATCAAGAAAAATATATCTAACCGACAAATCTCTTGAACTGATACCTGGACACCTTTAACGTACAAAGAAAATTATCACCAGAACTCTGTCTCTATGTTACTAATAAAATTGTGTTGATGCCTTTTGCTTCAAACATCCAATGCATTATCCCCTGTGCTACTAAATTCAGTCTTTGTTGCCATATCCGTAACATGGATGGATTTTCCCTATATAGTGTTATAGCATCCAGCTGAGGAGTACCGAATAGGACGAAATACACATCCGAGATTTCACTACTAATCACATACTAACTAACGTTAAATCTAATTAATCCGCATGAGATGCACTTTTACCAACTGAGACTAATCAACTATAGTCGTGGATACCGACAACGAGAAATTACAAGCCTTCATCAATTATTCTTTAATCTTTTAAACATCACCCATTCCATGTATATAGTGAGTTACATAATCTAAATATATGTTCATGAAACATTTTTTACCAATTCTTCCTAATCGTTTTTATTTCATCTGTTTATTCAGTAGCAAATCGTGATACAATTAATATGGGAGGAGCAACAGTAACAATGAATATTCCTACCGATTATCATCAGAATAATGCATCACGATACAACATTAATCCACCAATTTTCACTCCTGGTAATTCTTCGTTTTTATCCCTGATATTCTCTCGTCTTTTTATACTATAAATTGTGATGTTTAATTGTTAATCTGCTATTTCACAACAGTGCATATACTATAAATTGTGATGTTTAATTGTTAATCTGCTATTTCACAACAGTGCATATACTCATTGTTAATTAATAGTATAAAGGAGAATACGTGTAGAATATATTAAATCGCTTTGTGCTAAATAAAAGGTTTATAATTAATTTGCTGTCATTTACAAATGGCATTTGATTTCCCCTTGTTTGTAGGGAACGTTGGATTAGAAAAACTAAGGTTAGATTTGACATCAGTCGATAAAATCAGTGACTGTCGAACGGATCCTTTAAGTATATGCTGACTACTTAGTCTGAGATCTTCGGGATTGTCGTAACCAATGGTTTAGGACGTTGAATTACGTAGCTCAGAAAATCGCTGGCAATGTCAGAAGTGCATTTACTTCCTATTTTCACTTAAATTATCAGTTTAAAAATTATTTTACGCTTTTTACTCCTCCAACGGAATAGCTTTTACATTGTCACTCGTAATTGCCACATTTTTATAGTTGCTGATCAACCTCTTTTTAAGGTTTATCATTGATATAAAAATGTGATAAGTTTACTTAGATAATTAAATAAAATAATTTTGGGACAAAATAATTCGATAACAATATTTACATAATTGGAAAATTTGATGGTTCCCCGAGTGTTTTGAGTAGATCACTAAGAATAATAAGACCTAATTTTTATTACTCTCCTTAACAAATGGTTATTCTTATTTACAAAAAAAATTTATCAACTTTTCTCAATTCATAGTACCTCAATGGACTTAGCTGTCATCTGATTGGCTACCTTAACTTTTAGCATACTATTTTCGTTATATTTTATAAGGTTATATTTGTTGCTATTTAAGCAGTTGCTATGTTACAGATTCAACTTTTTGAAATATTTAGCTTTTAATGAGTTTCTTTCTCCTTTCTTTAGCCTCATAGAGCATTATAATAATTATTATTGTTGAACTGTTGTGGACAGATTACTTGTCATCTCTTCAAAATGCGTTTTTACCTCTCATCTTAAGTAACATCTTCCAATCGTTTATAATTGGGAAGAATTGCAAACTATCTCATAGTAGAAATATAAATACAATAATAAAAGGATTTTGGATTTTGCCTGTACACTTAAAAAGTAGTTGTTTAGTCTGAAACAAAAATAGCTTAGTATTTGTTTAAACCCGTCATATAGTTGCAAATTTAAAACCTCCACTCTACGTGCCTCGATTTATTCAGCTAAATAAATGTGATTTGTCCATCACTGGCTGTTTTAATTAAAGAGTATCTCAAAAATATTCCCAAAAATTTGTACTTTGTTAACTAAATTAGTGGACTATTTGTTCACATGATTTTGGTGAACGTATATTCATGAAGGAATTTATGAATCATATATATATATATATATATATATATATATATATATATATATATATATATATATATATATAGTGTTGACGCTACAATAACTGTTTCAGTTTGTCGCCCATAGAATATTGCTTGTTTCTTTTGCATATACTTATTTATTCTCTTAAACGTCACTCATTCTTTCTATCGGACTTCTCTATTTATCAAATTGTTATAGATGCTGATATACAAGTTGTTGCTTCAGGACTAGTCTGCGTCTACACCTGAACTAAGGATAGGGAGTGAAGTAGTCGAACGCGTTGAAAACTTATCTTGGAAGTCTGATCAGCCCTAATGGGTTTATGTCTGACGAAATCTCAGCACGGATTCGAAAAGCTCGCTTGGCTTTTGCCAACTTACGTTACCTATGGTGGAGGCGAGATATCCGTCTATCAATAAAAGGACGAGAATACTGCGCGGCAGTCCGTTCTGTTTTAATTTACGGCAGCGAAACATGGTCACTAAGAGTAGAAGACACTCATAAGCTACTAGTATTTGACCACAGATGCCTTAGAAATATTGCTGGCGTCTGCTGGGATTACTGCTTAAGTAATAGTGAGGTTAGACGCAGGGTATTAGGGAATGATGGTAAATCAGTTGATGAGGTTATAAATCTTCATCGACTGAGATGGTTGGGCTATGTTTTACGTATGTCTGAACGCCGATTACCACGACGCGCAATGCTGACAAGTGTTAGAGATGGTTGGAGGCAAGTTAGAAGCTGCCAAACCAAAACGTGGCATCAGTGCTCGAAGTCACTAACCTCTGGTGTGAGCTGTGTTGATAGATGCAGACTACTTGGTTGGGGTCCGTGTGACTATCGTAACCAATGTTTGGAGACTCTTGGCGACATGGCTCAGAATCGACCACAATGGCGTTGGTGTATACACTCTTTGTCTCCTCTTAAACCGAGAGATTAAAATTGCTATATATCTTCATTTCTACGAACTAATTCTTTCTTCCTGTACTATATTCTTATTGCAATCTTTCTTTTATATATTACCACCTCTGAATTAACTACTTTTATGAATCCGGTGTTCATCTTGTTGTGTTAATGAGGTATGGCAACTTGGAACGATGCATATATGTGCCTGGTCCTACGTTGTAGCTGACTGACTGACGAAATGCTGATATAATAGGCAATCAGTAAATCTAATAATCAGATCTCAATTTTCCTAGGGTAGTTAATGACCTACGAAAACTTAATCTGCCAATCAATAAAATTTCAAATATCAATCATGTTTAGTTTGTGTAAAGTGCATTGTAAATTCAGTGTAAATTCACACCGGTTGCAGAAGCTTATAGTTATTAAGACTCAGTAACAAAAGATATTAGGTTTAAATTCAAGTGTGAACTTCAAAACTAGGATGCAAGTGCAGCCGACTGACAAATCCTAAATACGTTGAAACACACACATCCTGGATTCCATTGTTAACCTTTATCTGAGTTTAATTCTAAAAAATTCGTGTATGATTATAGAATATCGTAAAGTAAATGACCCACATTTTCACGAGTCATCCAGTTTTCTGATATCTGTTTATTTGAGTGAATACCGCATCAAAAAATCCTGGCCTTACATGTGGTCATCACTTAACCACATTAATCTCATCAAGTCAAGCGAACAATCGAATGTACATCTACGTGTAGTCCGTTGAAAAAAAACATTGATACAATAGGCAATTTGTCATTTGTGAACTAAGATTCATACTCATACTTTTAATTCATTCGTTTTTAGAATCCCATATTTTCATATTCTTTAGTTTATCACTGTACACGCCGTGTACAAATTCCGTGTATGAATCTGTTGTAATGTTAAAATGTATCTAATTCAAACACCACTTACCCCCGTTGCCTCTATTTGTTTAAAAAGTGCTTGATGCAAACTATAATTTCAGTTTAACAATTTAATTAATCAATTCTGAAAAGTAAAGTTCATTGCTTGATTTATCAACTCATCGGTTAGTTATATAATAATAATAATAATAATAATAATAATAATAATAATAATAATAATAATAATAATAATAATAATAATAATAATAATAATAATAATAATAATAATAATAGCATTTTTGGATAACTTTAAGGTAAATACAATTCTAACAGACAATGTAGTGTTTTATATGTGTATACATTAAGAAATTTCATCAGACATACTTAACGTCTGTATTGTTACCTATCTGTCTATTCGTAATCGTTTAAAAATTATTAATTTAATGAAACAATGACTAACTATTACTTACTCCTTTATATTCAGTTTAATTTACAAATTTTATCGTGTACACACACACACACAGACAAATGTTCATTCCAGAACATGGGTGTGTAGAGGTTAATTCCTCTGTATCCAACTCGAATAAATAGTATCCCGTTAACTGAGTATTTATTTACGTAGGCTAAATCTCCTAGTAGTATGAATTTACTCGAGGTTATTCAAAAGTTCGAACACGAGCCATAGAGGTAGTTGATTGTTAATGGCTGGTAAGAGTCCGAAAGTGTACAGATAGCAAGCACACAGGGAAACCAGTGAGAGTATGTATGGCTTGTGCTAAAAAGTCCATATGACATTTATGAGTATTAATCGATTGTGGATAATTTTTCATTGTCTGCACTTACAAACAATAGGAGAATATATAAAGATTGACGTACAGACATGCGCTCAATCAGACTCACACATAATTTTACATAATGGATTAAAGCGAGTAGACAAATAATAAAATATCAGAAGGGGTTTTGTGGAGATTCTAGTAATTTCAACTATTGAAATAACAAAATAGTTGAATGGGCTTACTATGGATGAACATTATTCTTCCGCTGAGTACACGTGTACATCTAGTGTTGGGACACAATACAATTTCTCTGTTTAAATCTTTTTTTTCTAGATTTTATCAGTACATGGTTTTACAGAGATTGTAGAGATTTTATGATTTACATCGCTATCTGACCTTAGTAAAACAACCATTGAAAACCAGGATACAGTAGCTGTCTCGTCCTAGTACGGGACTCATTAGCAGTGCATATCCATGACCCTACCACATTGGGTCAAATCCAGTAATCTTGATCTCGCTCGAAGCTTCGACATCTAAACCACTGAGCCAATTGTCTAGCGCCTCCTAGTTTTCAATGGCGATCTAGCTAAAGTCATTTTGTAATTTAAACTATGAGAATTCTATAATTTCCACAAAGCCCTATACTGATAATAACTATTTACTCACTAGTGACTAACTTTTAGATGGAATCCCTGTATTTATATTGAAAAACTGTGACTAGTGGAGTTTAACAGTGTCACTGCAGTTTATGGAAGATGATCGAACAAAACCGTGATTCGACTGACGTTAGCTATGTACACCACTGGATACCGACTCAGTTTCCGAGATATCTTTTCTCATCATAGTTCGATTCAGAAAATTGTAAACTCAAAAGTCAAGCTGTTTAGTTACGCTTAATGGCTGATATATTTGGACTCAATTAATCATACCTCACTACATCTCCGGGAAGTACCTCTTTGAGTTATTCATAAGTAAGAATTTGGTTATCAGGA